ATGATTAGAAATGTATGTATGTATGGACGATAAGAAATGTAAACGTTATAATATATGTATAACGAAAGTTTGGCAAGTATTTGACTGTTTTTGGGATAGGAATTGGAATAGGAGGGATTTGAATGTGGATATAGAGGGGGAATGCCAAATTTTGATAGGTAGAGAATTCCAGAAATTTACAGCGCGAGCTATAAAGGAATTCTGAAATGAGGCAGATCTGTGCGAAGGGATGTAGAGGTCGGAAGGTCGAGATCTTGTTGAAAGGGAATGGACTGAGGACTTGAATTGGAGAAGGTTGTAGGCGTAAGAAGGACGATGGTTGTTAATGATTTGATAGAGGAACGTACCTAGGAAATATTGTCTTCTAAAGGAGGGGAAGAGCCACCTTAACTCAGTGTAGTGGTGAGAGACATGGGAGTACCTCGGGGCACCGATAACAAATCTTATGCAGCTATTCATTAATCTTTTCAGTCTATCACGGAGCTCCACCGAGAGGCCATCATACACCACACAGCTGTAGATGAGAGAGGAAATTAGGAGTCTACGGGTATGTTGAGGTAGGAGATGGCGGAAGCGATGTTCTACATCTCCTTCAGTAGAACCTGCCTAAGAAATAGCTAATTCATTGGTTGTAAGAAACTTCTAACCTTCATTTATAGCCCATGACGCTTTCAGAGCGTTCATTAGAGTTTATAATCAGATCACTTTACTCTTCAATTTCACTCAATGTTTTAATATTTAGTTTTGAAACCAACATATTTTTTTGCTTAACCATTCGCAATCCTTAATCATCAAATTAGTCTCAGATCTTCTACCCCATTCCCAATTTTATTTTGTGTACTGCTCTGATAGCTCCTCAGGACGTTTGTGCATTAAAGCCCCCAAGGTCTCTTGCATACAAATTAAAATTTCTCAATTCCTAACACTTAGGAAGTTTCTGAGTAACTTTATTCCACATACGCCCTTTTTTTGTTCCCATGGTCTTTGCAGGGTAGGCGGTATGTGCAACATTTTGTTTAGATGTTGTGATTAGCAACTCATGTACTACATTCATTTCTTCAGTTCATTAATTCATTTCTTGTGTGTGTCATTTTACATATGACTCCAAATAGCCAACCTTAATATAACAGGCATGTGTAAAAGTAACACCATTGTGTAAGATGCCCACACCACAGTTCTTAATATTCCTGAAATAGATTTATCAACATACAGCTCAGGTGGTTTTACTCCATTATCCTATTTGGTCCATCTTAACAACATATCAGACCCATTGTCGCTCTCATCCTATTGACTTTTCCCAAGAAGAACGAGGAAACATCTTCTCAGGGTGGGCAGCGATTCATCATGTGCCAAATACCAAGATAGAAGGTTCTTTAAATTCTAGGTACTTATTTAGCCTATGGGAAGACGTTTAGCATTTTGACTTTCACACTCCAGGCCATTTTTGATAGGCTCCGCCTTACACACACGACCCGAATCTACTTCACCATTTCAAGTATCTAGTTCACATCTCTCCAAATAGCAAATTATGCAATCCCAAATCTCGCGAATTTGGAATTGTTGGTGAAGTGAGTACCTGAACACCCTTCAACATAGGATGAAATGGACATGCCAAGTTCCTAATATTGAAATAGGTGATCTCCTCATACTACTGGAGAAACGATCCTTACTTGGACATTGGCCAGTTGCGAGAATTACAGCGACTCATGTTGGATGTGATGGCACCATTCGCATTGTTACCATGCGTATACCCTCCGGCGGTAGTTTCATAAGAGCTGTCACTTCTCTAGCTCCATTATTCCTCTGAGATGGAAGATCACTCAGATGATTGAGGACTCCATTAACTTTTTTTAGTCTGTTTTCACTTATTTAAGGAGTCGTATTTTATTTTTATTTTTTTCTCTTTTCTTTATTTATAATCGATGCCTTGCAAATAATCAATTTTTCAGTTTCAAGTAATCAATTTATTGAGCAAAATATTTATTAATTTTCATCTATAAATATTTGTTTCTTTGTTCTTTAATTGAAGCTCACCAAGGTACCTTTCAAATGTATTTTCTTTGTCTTTAAATTATTAAGTATAATTTAGATGAGCGATTTGTTTAGGGTTGATCACCCTAAAGTGATTTTAAATCTCCCCCCTTTCATATGGTACAAAAAAACCATCGCCATGGCAACACTGCAGCGACGGTGGCACAGTCTGCACTTAAGTAAGTAGAGAAGAAAAATGGGCGACTGACACGAGAAGTAGACGAATTCTCTGGCCTCTTCAAGACTACCATTCATGCTCTGTTCTACCATGGGAAGAGGTATGGAGTAGAACACTGAGACTTACCGGACCCATGGAGATGAGGAACTGTCGCAGCCGGCCGACCACCGATATCACCACCGTACCTCAGTCAGCAAGTAAAAGATTGTAACCTTTTATACGCCAAACCCCCATCTCTATATTTAATGTTTAAATATAATTATGGTTCATTTAAATACAGTCCACTTATTTCATTTCAAGACCCAATCATCTGTACCATATCATACCAAAAAATGATGGTACAAACCCATTTCAAGTATCCACTTTCAATTAGTGTGAAAACTTTTGAACTGTCTATGACAGACAATGCAAACCTCTTAATTCCGTTATTGTAAACTTTGTAATGCTAAATAACAGTTAAATAACTAATAGTCGTACAATCTATAATCAACAAATCATACAATCCATAATCAACTGGTGATATAGTAAATAGGGCTTTTGTTATTTTAATGGCATTTTAGATTTGTTAGCTGTAATATTTTAGCTTTAGCTCGGTTAAAAATGCAATTAAAAATTTTTATAATAGCCTAACATGGCCAGAAAATAATTTCTATTCAAAGTTGAGCAGTAAGTGAAGGTTTTGTATTGCGCTCACCAGATTTTTTATAAAAGTATTAAGAATTATATAGTAAACATTAATTAAAAAAAAAACTAGTACCACTGAATCCATCAAGGGTTTTGGGTTCTTTATTAGGAACTACTGTTTCAAGGACAACGGTTGTTTAGGAAGGTGGATCATGCTCAACCTCCAAGTTTTTCATCTTAATTAATTATTTAATTCAGAATATCCACTTTATAGAGGCTGGGTGTGCCCCAGGAGGTTCTCCTGGCCCAGGGAGGTTCCACAGCTGACGAAAAATTACTTGACATCATCCAAATTTAAACCTAAGAGATCTTGAGCATATTAGCCAAGTTCCAAACTCACTGGGCTACTCCTGATCCATGTTCTCATTATCCCTGTTGTAAAAATTAAAGCTATAAAATTTGTTCAATATGTTTTTATGTTTATTATTATAATTATGTAGGGTTTGTATATGCATCATAAGATTCCAAGTCCATGAAGACTGGACATGTATAGATGTATATGTCAAAGAATTAATAAGGAAGGAGATGGTCTGAGGCGGCAGTCATAAATAGATTAAATAATGGCAAAACTATTATATTAAAAGCCAACATTTCAACCCGACATTGCAGGTGTTCTTCAGGGCTAGAACGGACACGATACAAAAAGATAAAGAGAATTGTGAAAGTTACATCATATTTAAATAAAAATTATAAACAATGTGAATAAACTTATTAAAATTATAAACAGTAAGTACATTAAAATATTAAGAACAATAAGTTGTATAAACAGAGTAAGCTAAGTAACAAGATCCTAAGCTGAAGTAAATAGATGTTAACAATTGTTGTAGTATAATATATAACATAATGTATACCATTGTGAATATACTCCTACAGATCTGCAGGAGAGATTGAAGAAAAGGAAAAAGGATATAATATGAAATAATGGACATAAAGGGATGTTGAAAAAGAAAAGGAAAAAAGAAGAAATACAAAAAATAAGTAAATAAAATTAGAAGAATAAAAATAGAGACTTACAGGTGTGTTCAGCAAGGAGTTTCACCTAGAAAACCATAGTAAGTATTGGGGAAATTTGCTGACCTGGTTGGGGAGTGTTGAGGTGGTAAGTAGTAAAAGTAAAACAAAAAATTACAGTAATTTTTTACTTTTATTTTCAATACCGTTTCTATCATAATTTCTATCAATATTGATCTCTTCGATCAATAGCGATCATCTCATAGGCCTGAACTTCGGATCGAAATGTCTGCAAATGTTAAAATAAATATTATTATTTATTTTTGCCATTTTTATTTTGACTGATCACCCCAACTGTCCTTCTCTTCGATATTCACTACAGTCAACCATCAACCGACAATTAATATGAACTGCTTTGATGCAAGAAAAATTTCTTCCCAATCTCTCATTCTATATATTATAATAATTAGAGCACCTGATTGAAAATATGTTACTTGTAAAATAGCCGGTTGGGACGAAACCTTCATTGTTATATAATCTAATATCACATAACATTCCTTCTTATCTCGTCTAACCTATGTTATTCCATTGTTTATTTTTGTTCCTCATGTAAGCTGTGAGTTAGTGTTATTTTCGTAAAATTATGGATGTTTTTACATTGTTCGAAGTTGGACGAGAAGACAAAATGGAGATGTTATCGTTCTTGTAACAAAAACATTTCTATAAGGAAAGGAAGGTGGTTAGAGGAGTCGAGGATTTCTTTTTTAACAGCTTAATATTCATTTATGGGTGGTCCCATAATTTAACTATTTCTTCCTTATTTTAAATAGCATAAAACTATTTTCCCTACCAAAATAAATTAGGTTAAAATAAACTTGTTTTTTATGTACATATTTTGTTTATATTGTTTCTTTTATATGTACATATGTTGTTTAAGTGGTTTTTTATTATTTCATTTATTTATATATATATGTTGTATAATATGAATATAATACAATAAATATGAATAGGAAGATATTATCAGTGCTTTGTCAGAATTGTCAGTGTTAAAGTTATAACATTAGCAGATAGCAGTTGGACCTGACCAGCTATTTAACAAGTACTAAAAATATTACTTTAAACCATTGTTATAAATTTTTTTAAATAATTGTTTCAGGAATCTTGGAAGTATGTAACTCTTGCAGTGAAATGTACCATTACAAGTGTATACCTGCTTCAAATAAAGGCTATTGTCCTAATTGCATGGCCCAAACTACTAACATCCCTAGTATTGTTGGGGCTAATAATTCTGCTGGGAACGCTTCAAGTTTGGAACTCATTAAGCGATACTCTAATGATGAGCAATCATCAGGTAATAATTAGCTAATATTTTACTTAATGGAATATTTTTTGTTTTATCTTGAACCTGCTTAACTAATTATGCTTTCTGCCTGGTATATTTTGAGGTATATGAATCGCTAAATTTTTTTTTGGTTTAATATTCTAGCAGTTAAAAGAAAAACCTGGCCTGCTTAATCTATGTTCATCGAAATCTCTTTTTACCTTGCTATGAGTTATGATAGTCCAAGTTCTGCTTAATCAATGCTTTATAAAACTGATTCTTGGTCCTGCACTAAATCCAAAATGGACTATCAACAATCAAAGTTTTCGCTTGTTTAAATATATCATATTGATATTATTATAAATGTAAACTATTTCTCAACTCTAGATCTTGCCACAACAATGTATCCTCCTGATAAATTTTAATCCAGTCAAATTAGGTTCTTTATTTGGATATAATTCCTAAAAAGTTCTAATTTTTTAATGATTGAGATGGCTTACTAATGAATATAGTCTTGGAAACAAAATTTTCTAATCAAAATAAACACAATTAAATTCTAGGGAGCAGTGGCGGATCCAGGAATTTTCTCAGGCGGAGACACCTCTGTACCATTTGCTTCCCCCACCACTACCAATCTCCCCCTCCCCTCTTTAAGTGGTTTTAACAAATACAAACTCTATTTTTATTTAAAGTAAATTTTGTCTATAGTGAAGTACTCGTTAATTACTTAAATCAAATCTTTTTTTTTGTTATCACTTGCTATTCAACAAAAACTGTGATTTACATAAAAAATCACAAAACTTTAAACTTTACTTTCCTGTTAAAAAAATTATCAGTTTTATCCAACTCCATTCTTTACTTTTGCTTACGATTACACAAGTGTATTTTCCATAACAAATTTATATGAGTTTTTCATCATTGTCCATTACATTCTACAACTTTATTATTATACTGGTACTGGTGGAGAAAACTTGTATGGCAAGTGGACCACATGGTTCTTTTTGCCAATCCCTGATGGCTACCTTTTATTATTGTACAAATTTTTTTTGATACCCTTAAGAGTATTGTAGCAAAAAAAAAATTGAGAACTACTAGTTTATAATATAGCACATATGCAGAGAACCTATTTTATCATTATGGTATCTTTACCAGGCAAGGAAATATATTTTTAGTTAGTAAAAAAAAATTAGCAGATATTAACAAAAAAAAAAATACCTTCTTTTATCCTTTCTCGTCCTGCTCATCTGTATTCATCAAGACTTTTGGTACATTCATTAGTAGACCCTCCCTAACATTAGTGTAGTTTTTCAATGCTTTCTGAACTGTCCCAAAATAACCAAAAGTCTGACTTTTTTGACTGGACTATGATAATGTTGCTAAGGATTATTTGTGCCAAAAATAAAAATTGTATTTGTCATACTGCTGACCTTGTTGAGATTTTTTTTCTCTTAAATGGTCAGAATTCAGCTGCTGCAATCTACCTCAAGCTGTAATAAAATGTTAATACATTTGGTATTATTACAGGTTTGGGAAATTTTTTCCTTTTATGTAGATCACAGCTGTTGACTTCTGATAGCTAAAAATATATTAAAACTACTGCGTGATCCTTTTCAGTCTACATTTTGACAGTTGTTTTTATTTAATTTTTAAATTAAAAAATAATCTAACTTTAGTAATCATCAAAACCTAAAAGAGTCATTATTCATAAAACTTATAGATAATAATCATTTATTAACTTTTGTAATTAATAAAATTTAGCTCAAATAGCCTATAATGATAAAACAGATTCAAACAAATGAATGATATAGGAGCCAGATTCAGTTGGTGATGATCAAGAGGCAGTATTTATTCTGTTTCATAAGTGAAGTTCTTACCGATCCCCAATTACCAATTCTGATCACTAATCTGTTATTTTTATTTATGTTATATTCCATAATTTTCAGATATATTATTGTTTCCATATTTTTACAGGGTAGAAAAGGCGTATAAATGTATGGCATGATAAACTAAAAGAGGTTGGCCACCCCTAATCTAGAGTAATCATTTGCTTAGTAAATATAGCTGAAAATTTTGTTTATAATAAAGGCTTTAACATTAAAAAAAAAAAAAAAAAAAAAAGCCTTGTCCATTTTGCATGGGAAAAAAATGAATTGTTATTTCATGAACTGATAATTTGTGTTTGAAGAAATATGCATCCGTTGATTTGACATGTTTTGTGTGTATATACCAAATCAGGATGTTGTTTTCAGATGAAAATGACCAGAAGACTAACGAAACAGCAAATTGATGAAGATTAAGTAAATTTTTGAGTATTAAATTTCTAGTCAGTATGGCAGCAAAATTAATTTTATCTAGTTTCTTAAATGATTTGATGTTGTTGCTGGGCATCTTTAGTTGCAGACTGATGTTATCCTTGTTTTATATTATTTGTTATTTAAATTAATTTGTTATGATTTTTAATATTATTTAACTTTATTAAATGTTTCTTATTTGTTTGTATTTTGGATTATGTTTTTATATTCGATATGAATTGCAACATTATTTTGTAAAATTACTGTGAAAAATCATTTATGTGAATTTATATAAGCATATTTTTCACATAATGTGTTTATCTCATGATACTTTATTTTTAATTTATCGAAATTAAATTTATAAGAATAAATACATCTATTTTTATTTTAGCCTTCCTTTTTGCTTAGTAAGTTTTAATGAGATTTATATATTTATTTATTCATGCGTTTGAGCTATAGAGAATATTACTTTGTTATGTTAACTTGCAGAAATGTTTGTATTTAAGGAGAGGCAAATATTTAATAAGTTGATAGTAGACATCAAGATCTACAAAAAAGTTCATATAAACAGTTGTCCAATTGCCTCCAGAAAAGTAGGAAATTTAAGATTTCTGTTTTTTTAATTGAGTAACGTTTTTTGTTGTATAGGCAGTGATAAAATGAAAAATATTTGATTTATGTAACTAAACATTTCTCCATAGTAAACTAGACAAATTTACATTAAAACAGAAGAAAATAGAGTTTGTCACTGTTAAAACTATTTAAAGAGGACTATTAGGCGAACAAGCACAGCTAAGCTAAGATCCGTTTTTAAGTCATAAATTATTTGTGATTTTTTTTTTTATCACCCTTTAACTTTACTAAGTTTACTCAACTTTACAAAAACTTCCTCGTTTAATAGGCTTTAAATCCATATTAACTAAGTTGAGGTTTATTTGGAAAATTGTGAGATTCATCTCAAGTTGTGTTGCAAAGATTTTATTTCTTGTTTTTCCATTATATGGGATGTATTGCAATAAACATAATTAAAGAAAATATTTAAAAATTTAAAAAATCATTAGTTGTGTAAAGAAATTATGTGATTTCCTATCGTGTCACCTTAAAGTATTCATGTTTTCTGAAAAAATGACAACTGTTACAAAGTGTTTATTTCTAGTTTTTACATGTTAATGGATGTATTGTAATAAACAAACATAATTGCCTAAAAACATATTTTATTTATAAATATAAAAAATTCATAACTGATGATTTTTAAAAATATTTTTCACAATTGTAATACATCCCATATCATGGAAAAGCAAGAAATATAAGCTTTGCAATACAATTTGAGGTGAATCTCAAAATTTTTCGTAATAAACCTCAACTTAATTAATATGGACTTTTATTAAATGAAGTTTTTGTAAAAGTGGGGTAAATGTAATACAGTTAAAGGGTGATAAAAAAATCACAAATAATTTATGCCTTTTTTTAAAATGAAACTCTGCTGTGTTTGTTCGTTTGATAGTCCTCTTTAAATAGTTTTAGCAATGAAAAACTCTATTTTCTTTTATAGTAAATTTTGTCTAGTTTACTATGGAGCAATGTTTAGTTACATAAATCAAATGTTTTTTGTTAGCACTTCGTATACAACAAAAAACGTGACTCACTTAAAAAAACACTTATTTTAAATTTCTTACTTTTCTGGAGGCAATTAGACAACTGTTTACATGAACTTTTTTGTAGATCTTGATGTTTATTATCAACATTTTAAATATATCCATCCACTTACGAAGCACCGTGTGTGATATATTGATTATGTGTCATATTTGAATATTAAAACACAACACTACAATATTAGTAATCACTACTCTTTCTTTATCATACAAGATGACACTGTTAGGTTTATACAACTAAATCACTAATTGGAATAATCGATATATCACACCCTGTTTGTGTGTATGTATATAAATATACAGGAACAACGTATTCATGCATAATGGGTAAAATGCATAGAGAACTGTTTATAAGATACAAACAGTTATGTAAGTTTATAATATACAAATTGTTTATTAAGAACATATTCCTTTCAGTTGTTAGTTATTGTTTATAGTGAATAGGAATGGAGCGGAAACACTACCAGTCCATGGTACAGATTCCTTTTTATCAAATTATTAACCTCCATCTAAAACTCCTAAATACTCATGAACACCCATTTGCTTTCTACTTGAATCGTTAAAGATGATTTAATCATAAAATCAAGAACAAAGGTGGTTTACAAAAAAAATGGGCCATTTGGTCTGACCCATCTCTAATATGTCAAAATAATGGGGTTATATAGGCCAAATGACTCAATATTATTGTAGGCCACTTTTTTTTTTTTTTGTGATTGAATTATCTTATGATTCATGTGGAAAGCAAATTTTAGTAGACATCCCCCTCCATTTTCTCCTTTATGTGTCATTGGATGAGGGAATGAGAAGGAATATATAATATATAGGAATGTGAGGTTGCACTGTGAATTGTACTCAAGTATGCAGTGGACAAATAATGCATAGAAAAGTCTCATAGGTAGCTAACAACAGCTGCAGAATGACGCCAGGGAGAGGGCAATGGAGGCTGGGACACAGAGGTGAGAGGACATTACCTGAGATGAGAGAGGCAGAAAACGGAAGACCAAGAATATCGGTACTAGTTCACAAGAGTTCCGCACGGATTACGCGTGGTTCACAATCACTTCGATCACACTTGTTCATGGAATCCTGAAAACAGCCGAATGTTGTCGTCTTTTATGACGTCAGCTATTGCCCCATAATACAATCCCTTTTCATGCATTTTTGAAAAAAATACAACGTATTCCCTTTATGGAACATCCTTATTAAAAAATTGTGTATTTACTAATTAGATTTTTATTATAGCGGTTATTACTTTGAAAGAAAAAGAAAAAAATACATAAAATAATGTTTGAGTAGTTTCTTCAAGCCCTATTAAAAAAAAAGCTTTAAGCAATAACATTTTTATTGACACGTGCTTACATGTAGTGGCTGTAAATACGCATATACTGTATATTATCTTCTATAACTGTGTATAAAAGATTTGTTTATAATTTGGATAATAAATAATTTTAAGTTATCTATTATCTTTTTTTTTGTTATTCGAATTTTTCAATAGAAGTTGGAATAATTGAATTTATAATTTATTTTAGCATGCCTTTTTTAGAATTGCGCAATCGTCTATCTAGTTTATGTATTTTTTTAGATTTCTAATAATACGAGGGGCTATTTTCTAGTGGAGGGGGGCGCTTTGTATGCATATACTGTCTGATTTGTAATTATGATGTGTAATTATTGTTATTCGCAGTTATTTTTCTTGGTAATCCGAAAAAAGGGATTATTGTAGGCTATGGTACAAAAAAAAGTATTTATTTTCGAGAAAGGAATTAACGTATTTGGGAAACAACTGACGAAGAATATGTAATAATTCCAAGATAATGAATATTGGAAATCATCTATAAGAAAAATAATATCGTGAAATAGCAGCCAGAGATGTAATAATTAAAGATTTTTATGTATTACTATTTCTTTTTTACAGATCTATAATATATGTACAAGCTCAATTCAGGTTTCATGATGTGTAGCCTAAATTTCGAATGTAAATCTGCTCCTGCTATATAACTGAAGGTGGTTAAGGTTAAAGTACTTAAATGGCGGGAAAGTTAATAGTAACTGGCCCAAGAGATCGGTCGCCTTCGTTCTCTTTCGGAGAAACACGAACGCATTCGGGATTCCAGGAACAAGTGTGATCGAAGTGATTGTGAACTAGTACCAGAATATCAAGCCTACAGATATAAGACTTTAATATATTCATTTATTATCAGTTGTTAAAATAAATTGTTTGGTTAGACAGGAGTGAATAGTCCTTTTATTTAGTTGTGCTCAGAGTTGGGCGTTAGCGCGCTAATTTTTAACTAGCTAACGTACCGCTAAAAAGCTAAAATTAGCGGCGCTAAATATTAAGTTGTTTTAGCGCAGATAACTTTACCGCTAAATTAGTTTTACTTTAACTTTTAGCTTAAGCTAAATTAACTATTAACTTAACTTAACACTAACACAGGAGGAAAATTTATTTATTTCATTTTATTAATTGATATTAGGATCGACTGTTATGTAATCAGGGGTGCTTTTTATGAAAATGCTATCGGATTTTAGATAGTGCCCCCGGGCACCGACTTTTTGTAACTTTTCTGATTTAATCGATATATGGGTCGACTAATTTTAGGGGGCGCTTTTTATAAAAACATTGTCGGATTTTAAATAATGCTCCCCGCCCCCCCCCCCCGGGCACCGACTTTTTGTAACTTTTCTGATTTAATCGATATATAGGTCGACTATTAGGTTTTGGGGGGCGCTTTTTATGAAAATGATTTCGAATTTGAGATTAGGGCCCCCGGGCCTCGAATTTTTTTAACTTTTAGGATTAAATAGATATCAGGGTCGACTGTTATGTTTGGGGGTGCTTTTTATGAAAATAATATCGAATTTGAGATTGGGCCCCCTGGGACTCGAATTTTTTTAACTTTTTGGTTTAAATAGATATCAGGATCGACTGTTATGTTTTGGGGGGTGCTTTTTATGAAAATTATATCGAATTTGAGATTGTGCCCCCCGGTATTCGACTTTTTTTAACTTTTTGGTTTAAATTGATATCAGAGTTGACTATTAGGTTTTGGGGGGCGCTTATTGTGAAAATGATATCGAATTTGAGATTGGGCCCCCCGGGCCTCGAATTTTTTTAACTTTTAGGATTAAATAGATATCAGGGTCGACTGTTATGTTTTGGGG